ATTTTTCAGATTTTTGGCGTTTTCTTAAAATGGCCGTAACATGAAAGATTAAAGTCGGAATCAGCTCAAACTTTCTACACAGCATAAAGACATCAATATGTATCAGAAAATGTAATAAAAATTTGGGGTGATTTCGGAGCCATTTTTTGTATAGCCTTGGGTATTTTTCAGATTTTTGGCGTTTTCTTAAAATGGCCGTAACATGAAAAATTAAAGTCGGAATCAGCTCAAACTTTCTACACAGCATAAAGACATCAATATGTATCAGAAAATGTAATAAAAATTTGGGGTGATTTCGGAGCCATTTTTTGTATAGCCTTGGATATTTTTCAGATTTTTGGCGTTTTCTTAAAATGGCCGTAACATGAAAAATTAAAGTCGGAATCAGCTCAAACTTTCTACACAGCATAAAGACATCAATATGTATCAGAAAATGTAATAAAAATTTGGGGTGATTTCGGAGCCATTTTTTGTATAGCCTTGGATATTTTTCAGATTTTTGGCGTTTTCTTAAAATGGCCGTAACATGAAAAATTAAAGTCGGAATCAGCTCAAACTTTCTACACAGCATAAAGACATCAATATGTATCAGAAAATGTAATAAAAAGTTGGGTGATTTCAGAGCCATTTTTTGTAAAAACCATGGACTATAGCCTTGGGTATTTTTCAGAAATTGGCTCATATTTTAAAACGGCCAGAACTCAAAATTTAGTCAAAATGACATCAGAATTAACAATATTAATGACAACAACTACATGTATTATTGTTACTAACCATTTCATAATTTCATGATAGTTAGGACTCCCAGCTAACCAGCTCCCCAGTACCTGTACCAGTAGCACATGATACCTGAATGAGACTAATCCTGTATCACTAACCTGGAGCCATTTTGGAAAGAAATGTTTATCAAAAATATGAACAAAATGATGAAGAGGAAGGGCCTCTCTCCACTGAAGTACCCACTCAACGGGAGCTAGTAATAAATATTAATAGTTAGTTAATTATTAATATTCAATAGTTAATTAACCATACCAATAGTTTGATGGTTTGGGTTAATGTCTAGAGTCTGTATACAATACTCAAGTTTTGGTAGAACTGTCCTACATAGAAATGCCTCCATTACTTGAGGAGAGAATACCTATAAATAATACTGTGACACACCCCCTCGTCTAACCACGCCTACTTTAATCCATGGACGGATTATTATCAAAGCTGATGAATCTGAGGGTTGCCAGTTGTTCAAAGCCACACCCAACTTCATCCTAATGGTCGGATATAATATCTCTAACTGTTTATCTGTAAATATACCAATAATATACTAATAATATACCAATAATATACTGATAATATACTAATAATATACTGATAATATACTGACCCATTAACGGTAGCCAGGGGTGTATCCAAGAGTGTATTGGTAATGGATCGGTGGTTGGGTTCCAATTATCAACTTCATGCTGAGGGGGAGGGGCATATCTCAATCAATTAATTAATGAATTAATAATTACTTGTAGTTTAGGTAATATTAATGATTCGAGAATATTAGTGATGATCCATTCTGGTAACAATGGCAACCAATGCTCTAA